TGTTTTATATACCTACGTGCCTGCACATAAAGCTTCCCGTGCATAAGGGGGTACTGCCAGTGAAAGCAGACTCAGAACCCCTGCAGTAAGCAGCACTTGACAAAGGAGGCAGAGTGATTCCATAGATGAAAGCTGGTCCTTTATTTTGCGATGATGCCATGCTATTTAAGCCCGTGTCTTTGCTTGCCCAGATTTGCTCACCTTTGTTCTTCGGCCATTTCTGGTATATACTGCATGCCTCCACACAGAATGGAATCTTAGGATAAAGCTCTCGATGGGAGTATCTAGGACCAAATTGCTAATGCTGCCCACCTTACTTTCTACACTGCACACTGTGTCCTCACTTCCATTCCATATAAACATTTGCATATAAGATGAGAATAAGAAGATGCACATACATTTGTTTAAAATATATTTAAGGCCAGCAAAGTGGGTTAGTGTACAAAAGGTAAAAAGGCTTGTGCCTTGCAAACTTGCTGATCTGAATTCATCTCATAGAACCTATGTAAAATATGAAAGGAGAGAATTGATTCCACAAAGCTGCCCTTTGGGCTCCACAAAAGCCTCATAGTACATATATATGCCCACAGAAGCCATATAACACATATGTGCACATGTGCTCCCCCCTACATTGTATAAAAATTTTAAATATCTTTAAATTTTGAATTTGAATATATCTACTAAAAATTGATATATTGGATTTTAGCGTATATTTTACTTTATAATTCACTCCTTTTTATTCATCAAATGCATATTCATATTTATGTTATATTTATTGTTCTAACTCATGGAGGTAAAATCATCCAAAACAGAAAAACACCAGTGTCCCCTTGAAGTTTTGATTCTGATGAAGTGAGGATAGATAGTCAAGAAATGAAAGAGATGAGAAAATATAAAGCAATAAGTATGTGCTAAAAACTCTAAGTATTAAAGGGCAGACTACAGAGAACAGTCGGGATGCTGAAATACAGTTTGGCCAGCAAAAGCCTAGCAATTTAGTAGAGATGCTGAGTCTTTGCAGTAAAGGTCATAAGATTCCATGAGTAACTTTCCCAGGAAGATAGCATGGAACAGCCACTGAGACAGGTATGAAGATGCTAGTCTAGTGCATAGAGTCCTGGGGACAAGCTAGAAAGCAACTCAAACGTGTGGTCAGAAGTATAATCTCAGCGGCCATAGCAAGAGTGTAGGATATCCTCCGTGTGAGGAGAGAAGGTATTACCAGCACGTGAACATGAGCATAGGACAGGCATGATCTCAAAGTTTTTCAAGATTGTCATTAATGCTGAGCTGAGTACTCAATCCACTGAAGGGACTACGTCTAGGTAGAAACAGACCAGCAAGAAGGCTGCTGTAGTAGGGAACTAGATCCAAATTGGTAACAGTGACAGTGGTGAGAACTGGTCAAAACATGGTGACATTTTCAGACTTGCTGAAAAATTGAACATGTGTGCAGTTGGAGAAGACTAAAGGTAGAAAATTGCTTTTAATTTAGATATGAAGAAATATAGAAAGAAATTTGAAAGATGTACAGTTTTGGGAGGGATGGCCAGTTGATCACATAATCCTGAAGCTTGGTCAGAAAGTTTGATAAATGTAGAATTTATTTGACTCTACTCGTAGTCAAGCATGAAACAGGTGAAGTCATAACTGAATGTTGACATAGGTCCCTTAGCATTTTCAGAGATCATGTCATAAAGAGGGATAAGTGGAGGGACAAGTTGAAGGGGAAACCTGGACAGTATTGTGTTCTGGAAAGTACACAAGGAGATTGCATAAAGGATTACATGTGGTCAGTGGTGTCCTAAATCAAGGAGAAGAGTGGTATTAGCTTCAGCCACCAGGAGATGGTTTTGACCTTGACAAGAGCAGATTCAATGAGTCAGGGCCTGTTCAGAGTCCTCAAGGTTTGCCTTATAGGCAGTCAAGAAATGGCATGGTTCCTGTCTTCATGAATAGATCTAGAGAAGACTTTTGGGGTGGGGGAGATATACAAATTAGTAGCCTTTCTGTACCTTCCTAAGTGTATCTGGAAATTAAATGGCTAAAAACAGAAATCTGTGAGGACAGAAGCTGAGGTTGTAATCAAGCCATGTGAACAGATCCTGTGGGTTTATGGGAGTTTGGAAATGTCATGGTTACACTTGGTAACATGAGAACAATAGTATCACAGAAGGCGAACAGAAGGCAGTCCAGCAGATCAGCTAAGTAGAGGGAAGGCATCAAGTCAGATATTTCCCATATGCGTTTTGCATAGTTTGGGTTATAGTAGCTTCTAAAGTACCAATGTGAAAATTTCAATGTAAGAATTTTAAATATAATTCTTTCCTTCATGTCTTCCTCTGGGAGGAGGTAACTCTGCATGCCTTAAGAGGAGGATGCAGAAAGCCTCTCCCATGTGCTAGATGCTGTGAAAGAACAGCATGATACTTTATGCTAATTACTGGACCTCTGTAAGACAGTTTCCCCGTAACTCTGATACCTGGTAATATAACTGTCTTGATGAATCAAGTGGTTTAGTTAACAAGGACCTCCAGAATGTGACTTAAGTGACTTATCAGTTTGGAGGCAAATGTGAGTGTGTGGACATGGTGATATGGTGGCTCTTGAGATGGAGAGCAGCTGGTAGAAGCCCTCATCAGCCAGCCTTATGGGGCTGATGAGATTTGGGGCATCAGATAATGAGGATCTGAGTTAGTTCTTTCCAGGAGTAGACTTTGTTTCATCCTTTGATCCAAATGAGGCTTTGCTGTGATACATCCCATAAACCATGAGACTGAGTTAACTGAGGAGACCATTTCATGTGGAAATCATCCAGGTCCCATAATTATCATCTACAAAACAGCCATGGAACACTTCATCTCCAAATAATGGAATTCACTTTTATTTAAATATAAGATCCCCATGTCCAAACTAGACGTATTCTATTATGTGTCATCTCTTTTCATAGTTTTCACTTTGAGGAAATGTTGTTGTGTGTGCTAAATTTCTGGACTGAAAACAAAACCAAACCAGATTCCATTTGGTCCATCACTGTGAGAAACAGAAACAAACAATTGTGCTCTCTCCTTAGATGTGTGGGTGCAATATTGTCACTGTACATTCTGTAAGGTTTTGTGGGTACAATGTAGAGACAATAGTAAAGTTTTCATAGACTAAGTATATCTAATGAGTTAACTTATGAATTGTCCAATTTTAAGCTTTTGCATTATATTTCTAACTGATGTTATTTTTCTCACCCCAATATTTAAAGTGTATAGATGATACTGAGAGTTAAGGATGGAGGAAGTAAAGAAACAAGATACCACTTCTATACAGTTCAATATGCCACTGCCTAATTGATGGGTATATCAGAATGAACATTCAGAATATATGTGAATTCACAATGAGCAAAGTTGAAATCATAATTATCATAATTATGGCATAGAAGTAATGAAGAAAATAATTCAACCACATTTTAAAATTGATTCTATTTTCTATGTCAAGATTGAAAGGGTAAAAACCTTTCATTTTAGCCAGATGATTAGAAAGATCTAGTTTTGATGATTATTTTTATAGTGGAATAATCTTTCATTATTAATCTATTTAAGTCTTATCTCAAGTCAGTTCACCAGTGCTAGCAATTAAAGGTAGAAAATGCATGTGCTCAATTTCAAGAATTAAAAATAATGCCTTGGGAGTAAGCATTTCTTTTCTGCGGTGAATGGATTGTTGGATTTTCCAATTAAAGAAGTCTCCATACTGGAAATGAGTAGTCAATTATGGAAATTATTTTTGAATAGCCCATTTACATATCCCTAATTGTGTTCATTTCTTTTGAAAGACTACATTGGAATTTACAGTGTTTTGATTGGTTACCCCTGCATTTGTGTTATTAATATTATTGCCAACAAGGTTCCCCTATGAATGGGCTTTGAGCACCTTTATGGATATGTCTGTATCATTAGTAAACTTGCTTTATTTAATGAATGAAAACTATCCAAAGAGTTACTAGCATTTTTCAAAATTAGTTACATTGTACTTCTTTTGGTTGATAGTAGCACGCATGAGCTACCTCCTGAATTCACATTTGACCTTTTTTACCTTTGTCAATGAGGCAGATTTGAAATCCCTCTATTGGAGTGCAGTCTCCTAGCCAAAATTACAGTTATATAGCTGGTCTTCGTTCACAGTCCTATAGTGCCATAGCATCATGTGACTAGTAGAACATATCAACTTTTTCATGAAAAAATGACTGGAAAATAACATTTCAGTTTTTTATATTCAATATATGCAAATAAATTAAATGGGTGTACTTAGTGTCCATAAAATCCATTTAGAAGAAAAAAATTACATGAAAGACATATATAAAAATGTGACACTGGTGTATACATGACGAACACATGATTTGTAGCTATTAATATTCTTATGTTTGCAAGTATGTGTGGATTTAGATTGTGTCTAGAAATACATGTCATGAGGAAATGCTATACCCCTCTGTGATGAGAATGTACAATTCTATATAATGTATTCTCTTTTTCATAATTTGTTTATTGAGCTCTCATTTTGTACCCTAGGAGTGGGTAACATTTTGACATGCTAGAAAAAGTTATAAGTGAAGCTATGTGTATAGTTCAGTGGTAGAACACTTTCCTAGCATATGTGGAAGTGTACATTCAGTTCTTTGCAGGAGAGACACACAGAGATTGACAGACAGACACTCGACACCTATTCATGAGGAGAGAATTAACAGGCAGCCGTCTCATTCCTTTAACAAGAGCTGGCCCACACTGACTATCTTAGGAATAGGCAAACAAGGACAAACCCCTCATCATGTTCTATGCCTGTGCTTGCAGGGATTATACTGTTGAAGATTTAAGCATCTTGGCATAATAAGATTTAAGATTTTTCTAAGGCGACATTAGCTTTATGACGAAGCAAAGATCACAATCAACTAGACACAGTGTCCCTGTGATAAGCATGTCCTACAAAGTAATTAGTGTTGTTGGACTCGTTTGCAGCTCATTGCTGTGTTTGATGAACAAGAGCCACTCCAGAAGATTGAGAGCCCCAGTGGAAACCCTGTGGATCGGCAGAGCCCAGACGCTTTCGAGACAGAAGTGGCTGCTCAACTGGCTGCATTCAAACCAGTCGGTGGGGAAATCGTAGTAACCCCTTCTGCCCTGAAGTTAGGTAGGTGGATTTTGCTCATGACACCGTCCACTTGGTTGCAAGTTGCATCAACTCACTAACTTTCTTCTCTGTGAAACTTATCATATTAGTATTGTTCATTATTAAAACAACTGGTCTGTCCTCTCTCTTGAGTTATTTTTCTATGGCTCTCCACTGCTGCTGGTGCTCAGGGAAGGAGATGCAGTTTTTTTTTCTTGAACTCAGAGTGACTCCTAGTTGCTTGTCCTTGAAGAATCACACAGGGAGTCACACTGTGAGTAATGAGGTTTGCCTATATCCTAAAATCACCACGGTTGTGAAGTTCATCGCTTGGGAAAAGCTAGAGGTAACCAAGGAATCCACACTAGAAATAAGGTTCCTTTTCTCTCTTAGGCCTCCTGTTTTTCTCACTATATATATATATCTTAGACGTTGGAGGAAACAGTTGGGGAGTTTGTTTTGGAATTTGAAATTGCCTGCTGATTTATTTCAAAAAGGAGCAGTTTACCTAGTGGTTTTGCTCAGAATTCTTTTTCTTAATATTAATTTTGAAGGTATAGAAATTAAAAAATAAGCATTCTTCTAAAGTTTCTGTTAAGTACTACTCTAATATATCTGTTTTTGTTGCTACTTCTTGGAGATAAGTTTAGGTCAGTCTAATAGAGTGTTATTTTTGACAGCCCACTAATGTTTAAAGTCAATGTTATTTGTTTTGATTGTGAACACAACATTATGGGTCTGTTCTAGTACTGGCTAGAATTTAATTAGATTTAATTCCCAGGTGGAAGGACAGACATAGTCCCTACTTCTCAAAAGGAAACTGCTTTTTGTTTCTTTTTTTAAGAATATTAATTTTTTATTTTGCAAGTTTTTTATTATTTATTTTTATTTTTAAACTTAAATTTAAATTAGAAACAAGGTTGCTTCACATGTCAATTCCAGGTCCCTCTCCTTTTCCCTCCCCTCCTCCCACACCGTCCCACCAACTCCTCCAATATCCCCTCATTTCCCCAGGGAGGGTGAGGCCCTCCATGGGGGTGTCCATAGACTGTCATTTCATCCAGGGCAGGGCCTAGACCCTCCCCTGGGAGTCCAGGGTGAGAGTGCATCTCTCATTGTTGGATGGGTGCCCAAAGAAAGAATATGCACTTAAAATTGTGAATGCTTGGCTGGTAAGAAGGTTAGGCTGATTAAGACACTTGCTGTAAATCATGATGGTCATATGTCTATCCCTGCAACTCACAAGGTAGAAAGAGAGAACCAAGTCCTTCAGCTGCCCACTGACTTCCATAGCTTCCACAGTAAACCTTGGAATGCATACACGAGCATTCTCTCTCTCTCTCTCTCTCTCTCTGTATATATTTAAATTGTAAAAATTATACATAGCAACTTGAAATTCAGTATTTACTATTGCCCACAATCATGGTACATGCCTTTTAATCTTAGGACTCAGGAGTCAGAGGCAGGCAGATTAAGGCCAGTCTGGTCTACATAGTGAGTTCCAGAGCAACCAAGGCTACATAGTGAGATGCTGTCACAAGAGAAAATAAAATAAAATAAAATCACTGTTAAATTTATTCTATATATGAGCAAACCAAATAACCCTGTTTTGTCTCAATTTTCTTGAAAAGCATCTGTAGTATCCCTTTCAGAACAAACCAAATGGGAATTAATGACCTACAGCCTTTCTAATTTTCCTGCATATTTTGGAACCAAGCTAACAAAACAGTCTGCTAGAACATAGATGGCGAAGGGCTGGTTGGTGGCTGCTTCTCTTCTGGAGCCAGGCTTGTGGCTTCAGCAACCTTGCAGCCCCATCATTCATTTGCATAATGGATGCCTTTTTATCCATTATGCAAATGGTATGAGAGGAAAATTAGGCAATAAGGGAAGACGAAAGGAGAAAATTGCTCTTGCTTGTTTTAATATTCTATTTATAAGCAAGTGCTATGGGCTTCAAAAGGCTGAGACACATGGTATCGCTGCCTCTGGAACTTGTTCTCACCTTTCTCTTATGAGCTTTTCAGGAAGTAAAGTTTGCTTTTCTTCTGCTCTTTCATGACTTCTTTTGTTAGATCATCTGATCAAAATAGTGATATTGAATCTGAGAAGAACCAACTCAAAATCTCTTCCTTTCAAAATAGATTTTATTTCTATTTTTAAATGATTTATTATTTTTGTGTGTATGAATGTATGTATGCATATGTGTGTATGTACATGCACATGTATGTGGATTACATGAAAGTCTAAAACAGAATGGTCAGTTTCTTAAAGCTGTAGGTACAAGCAGTTGTGAACCACTAGACATGGATGTTGGACACCAAACTCAGGTCCACTGCAGTATTCTCTTAACCACTGAATTATCTCTTCAACCCCTCTTTCTTTGAGACTGATTTTGTGTGTAAGAGAAAGAGATGGGAACAGAAAATAATGTCTATTAAGTAGGACATAAATAAACTTTACTGAATGACTTCAGCCCTTACACCTTTATTGGTCCTTGCTTTTTTAATGTTAGCTAGTCATGTTTTAATATTCTGTTTTTCAAAAGATGAGAAGTTTAGTAGCACATCCAAATCACATTTTGATGAGTTGTCAAAGCCAGGATATAAACTCTTGTTGGCTCAAGAGTTAGGGACCATTTCACTGCACAATTTCTGAGACAATTTTTATAGAATAAGCTATTGATAAAACTTTCCTGGAGTTTCTTTGCAAATGTAAACCAAAGCCCAGAAAGGGATAAACATCTAGACTCACGCGTCCATTTCATTAGTAAAGTATAGGAAATGATGACAGGAGCTAGCATTCATGTTTCTTGTTTCTGTAACAAAGCCACTGACTAGAGTACCAGGTAGGTGGTCACAGTGAATTTATTATACTTAGGAATCAGAGGATGCTGAATACATGAAATTTGTTTTCTCCTTTGTTATTTTCATTCAAGACTGCACCCCAGCTATTGGGTGGTACCACCCACAGTCAGAGTAGGTCTTCCCTCCTCAGTTAAATGAGGTGGCAGAGAAGATCATAGAAGTACATAGCTTCTGAATTAGAGCAACTTAGGCAAGATGATTGTCTTTGTAATACTTTCTTTTACACATGGAAAACCTCTGGGTTTTAGTCTGGTAGATAAAGTTAAATAAATGCATAACAGATCCAGTTCTGTGTCTTTGCATGCTGTTTCACTATTAGTGTTCTCACAACAGAGATGGTCATATACTGCATTAGGATGAAACTGGCTTGGCAATACATATTTATGGCTCTTCCGGGGGCGTGGCCTTGGTGTGTTATGAGTCACACCTCAAGCTGCTGCTTATGTCAGCATAGGGAGGGGTGTCCGAAGAGGAACAGCTCTTCTGTTCCCTCAGCTCATCATGAAGGATGCTTCGACATGAAGGATGCCATACACTGAGCCTTAGGCCTTCATGGCCTGTTGCCATGTAGCTTTGTGACTGATCACCTTTCATGGTTGCTTAACCTACCCACAGCCACCAACAGCCATCTACCTATTAGTCATTTCTTTGAAATGTTAATGGCCTTATATTAAAATCTTGCTCACATTCCTCTAAAATCAGGAACAAAACAAGGCAACAAGGCTGTCCACTCTCTCCATACCTTTTCAACATGGTACTTGAAGTTCTAGCTATTGCCATACGACAACAAAGGGGGATCAAGGGGATACAAATTGGGAAGGAAGAGGTCAAACTTTCACTGTTTGCAGACGATATGATAGTTTACATCAATGACCCAAAGAACTCTACCAGGGAACTCTTATAGCTGATTAACACCTTCAGAAAAGTGGCAGGCTACAAGATCAACTCAAGAAAATCAGTAGCCCTATTATATACAGATGATAAAAGGGCTGAAAAAGAAATCAGAGAAACATCACCCTTTACAATTGCTACAAACAACATAAAATACCTTGGGGTAACGCTAACCAAACAAGTGAAAGACCTGTATCGCAAGAACTTTGAATCTTTAAAGAAAGAAATTAAAGAAGCCCTCAGAAAATGGAAAGATCTCCCATGCTCTTGGATAGGTAGGTTCAATGTAGTAAAAATGGCAATCTTGCCAAAAGCAATCTACAGATTCAATGCAATCCCCATTAAAATCCCAGCACAATTCTTCACAGACTTTGAAAGAACAATAATCAATTTTGTATGGAAAAACAAAAGACCCAGGATAGCCAAAACAACCCTGTTCAACAAGGCAACGTCCGGAGGCATCACCATCCCTGACCTCAAGCTCTATTATAGAGCTATAGTCCTGAAAACAGCTTGGTATTGGCATAAAAATAGACAGGTAGACCAATGGAATCGAATTGAAAACCCGGGTATTAACCCACACATGCACGAACATCTGATCTTTGACAAAGAAGCTAAAAAATATACAATGGAATAAAGAAAGCATCTTCAACAAATGGTGCTGGCATAACTGGAGACTGGCATGTAGAAAAATGCGGATCGATCCATGTTTATCGCCATGCACAAAACTTAAGTCCAAATGGATCAAAGACCTCAACATAAATCCAGCTACACTGAACCTCTTAGAAGAGAAAGTGGGTGGTACCCTTGAACGAATTGGTACAGGAGACAGCTTCCTGAACATAACACCAGTAGCACAGACAGTGAGGTCAACAATTAATAAATGGGACCTACTGAAACTGAGAAGCTTCTGTAAGGCAAAGGACACAGTCAGCAAGACAAAAAGGCAGCCCACAGAATGGGAAAAAATATTCACTAATCCCACATCTGACAGAGGGTTGATCTCCAAAATTTACAAAGAACTCAAGAAGCAAGTCTCCAAAACATCAAAGGATCCAATTAAAAAGTGGGCTGCAGAACTAAATAGAGAGTTTTCAATAGAGGCTGAGAGGCACTTGAGAAAGTGCTCAACATCCTTAGCCATCCGGGAAATGCAAATCAAAACAACTCTCAGATACCATCTCACTCCTGTCAGAATGGCTAAAATCAAAAACACCAATGACAATTTATGCTGGAGAGGATGTGGTGAAAGGGGGACACTCC